TATCGCCTCCATCTCGCCCTCGTCGCCGTCAACGTATACAGCTTCGCTGCCGCGCTCGCAGTCGCACGCCCAACTTTCCTCGCACTCGCCCAGGCTTTCGCCGTTGCCCTCATTCTCTCCTCTCCTTTCAACCGCGACTCTACCCACTGCTGCTTTACCCAGTCTATCCAGTCCCGGTGCGCACCCAACCGGCACTCTGCCGCCGTCCGCTGCGCTACCGACGGCCAGCTCACCCTTCCTCACAGCCCAACAATCCCCCTGACGAGGCGCCAGTCAAGGGCGTCGTTGCAGATGCTGAACCACCCTTCGTTGGCGGTGTCCTCTGCCGCTCTTACCTCCTCCGCCCTTTCGTCTACCCTTACCTCCTCCCTTTCCTCGGCTACTCACGGCTCGTTGGCCTCTGCCCATACAGCGCCAGGACCAGGAGAGATCCCTGAGAGCATGGAAGTCGTCGTAAAGGCGTTGTCGAGGAAGGGGTCGACACTGCATACGCCCTCGACGCTGCATACGCCGTCTACCAGTATTTCGAGTACGAGTGCGGGAAGCGCGACTGGGGCTGGCAGTGTGTCAGGAGGAGGAACAGGCGGAAGACAGCGTAACGCGGTGTACATCGACTCTGAGGAGGTTAGGGAGAGGTTGGATGAGCTGCTTTCGTTGAGCTTGGCTGCTGCGCGGGATGTGGAACACGTCGAGGAGACTGCTGAGGATGCCGGAGAGGTTGTAAATGCCGAGAGCAGTGGCAGTGTGGAGGACGCGACAATGGAAGATGCTGAAACTGTGGAAGGCCCAGCGCCAGCAGACCCTCTTCCTACCCTCGAGGCGAAACCCAAACCCAAACCCGAGCCTCCCTCCGCCGCTGTAGAACCCATCATCGACATACACCCCTCCTCTTCCTTACTCCAACCACCACCTTCCACGACATCCTCGATCTTCCCTTCTTCTCCTTCCCTCTCCATGCCTCATGGACGACACCCTCGTCCTCCTTCCCTCCCTCCTTCCCTCCCTCCTCCCGCACACACGCCCCGCCCAACACACCTCTAACAGCGTACTACTCCACGCCATACTACAGTACGCCGTATGCGTCGTCTTCGCAGGTCTACCTGGGGAACACACTCGAACCCGGGCATACAGGGCCTGGGTATGCGTCGGGCCCTGGGTATGCGTTGGGCCACGTGCCGAAGCAGGACTCGAACGGGTCAAGCAGCGGCTCTTCAGGGTACTTCGCTGTGCAACAACGTACCCATACCCTTGAGAAGAGGGTGGGGATGCCACCGCATCGGGGGGAGCGCGAGAAGCCCATCAGACCACCGCCTGCGCCCCCGCTCGACCTTTCGCTCGAGATCGCAGATGGAGTGGAGGTGGTGTTGCCCGGCGAGCCGAACGTGGAAGAGAGCATGGTCTTTGCGCGCAGCCCGGTCCTGGCGGAGTTCCGAGAGGAGGATTATGGACATGGACGGGGGTTTGGGTATGATAGCGAGGAGGAGGGGTATGGGTGTGGGTATGGGTGTGGTGGTCGGTTGGATGGAGAGGATGAGGAGTTCGCCGGAGGGTTCGATGGAGAGGACGGAGAGGCAGAGGATGGAGAGGGGTATGGAGAGGAGGAGGAGGAGGAGGAGGAAGAGGAAGACGAGAGAGCAGCCTATGCTGTGGAGCTGGGCGTCGAGGACCGGATGGTGTTTGACGGACGCGAGGCCGGAGCTGGGGCTGCAGTCTCGCGAGGACTCAGTGCGACAGCGGCAGGTGCAGGTGCGGCAGGTGCGGGAGGAGGGCGACACAAAGAGGAAGAGGGCACAAAGGCAGGAGCGGTGGCGGGGCCGGGTGTGAGGAGGAAGAGGAGGACGAGTCGGCGGATGAGCGTGCTTGGCGGAGGGAGGAGTCTGGGTGGTGGAAGCGGAAGAGGCAAGGGCCCGTACGGACGGTACGCAAGTGGTGGTGGTAGTGGTGTGGGCATTGGGATTGGGGGTACGATGTCCAGCGCTGCGGCTGGCCAACCTCAACCTCAACTGACCGACGACGGGCTGGCACCTCCAGACCCGAACCAGTCAAGATGGAGCCTCGCCTCGTCTACCTTGGACGTCCCGCCGTCTACCTCCCTTCCTGTTCCTGTTCCTGCGTCGAACATCCACATCCTTTCGTCGCTTTCGCTTTCGCTCGCTGTGGGTGGTACGCCGAAGAATGACAGGAAGGATAAGGACAGGTCGGTCAAGGAGAAGGAGAAGGAGAAGGAGAAGGAGAAGGCAGGCAAGGATAAAACCCCAACGCCTAAAGAGAAGAAGGAGAGGAAGGAGAAAAAGGGCCAGAGGAGGAGCTTCGTCCCTTTTGTTTCAGGTTCCCCGTCCGCCAACGCATCGGCCAACGCCTCGGCCACAACCTCGGCGAAGGCAACGCCTAGTGGGAGCGCCAACGCGACTGAGGAGCACCTCCTGCTCTTGTCGCCTATCTCGTCGGCACACTTCCCTGTGTCGCCCAACACACCCGACACCCCGTCGTCTCCTACCGACAAGGACACCCCGAATGGAGGCAAAGGAGGCAAAGAGGGACAAGGAGCGAATGGAACACTAGGAGCGAATGGAGGAGGGAAAGAGAAGAAACGCTCCCGCCTCGCGTCGTTCATCTCCCGCCTGTCGGGTGTGGGGAGCGGGGGGAGCGTGTCGTCTCCCTCCGTATCGTCTCCTGCGCTAGGGGTGGGGTTCGTGTTTACGCCTCCCAACACCAACGCCAGTGGGTTTGCGAGTAGTGGCCCGTTGAGCCCTCCATTGCCGAGTGTGACTTCGTCTGCGGGGTTCCATTTTGGATCCTCTGAGGAAAGTGGGAGCGGGCATGGTGGATTACTGCCGTCGCCTGTGATCGTCTCGACGGCGGCGACGGCGAAGAGCGAGGCGAAGAGCGAGGTGAAGAACGAGGGTAAGGCGAGCCCGCCTTTGCCGCCTTTGCCTGCACCATCGCCCTCGCCGCCCTCGCCTCCTGTTACCACTGCACCACCATCGCCTCCTTCAGCTGCCGCTGCTACCCCGGCTCCAGCTCCATCGCCAGCCCCAGCATCTCCGGCAGTCGTAACATCGTCAACGAAAGCGAAGCCCCATGGCCTGAACCTCAAGCTCAAGATCGCAGGGTCCGTACGGGGGTCTTGGGAGCCCCAAACTCAATCCGTTACTACCACCACCCAACCTCCTTCAACGACAACGGCATCGGCCACGTACGGAACGTCGAAGAGTGTACCAAGCTCGCCACTCGCGTCGAAGCCTGCGCCTCTCCTTCCTCTCCCTATGTCCATGTCCTCGTTGGGCTTTAGCTCGGGTGGGATTGGAGGTGTGGGAGCGGCGGGCCTACCCCCACTCCCACCTATCCCGGGTACACCAGCCGCGCTGGACAAGTCGTTCTCTGAGCCTCTCCTCGGTGTTGGTGCCGATGGGCCAACGAAGTCGGTGCCACCCACGACTAACACAGGGATGGGTGCAGGAGTGAGGCAGCGAGCCAACTCGGCAGCTGATTTGCTCGTCCTTCGCTCAACGGCCAGCGCTAGAGACAGCGGGGCGGGGAAGAGGGATAGTGTAGGTCTTGCAGCTGCTACGATGAGCCATGGGCACCGAGATCGAGTGCCCCATCCCGTCTCCGCTGCTGCCATCACTGCCACTTATACCGTTGCAGGTAGCCCGTGGACGGCGCGCAGGCCTGCGCTGGTGAAGAGCGCGAGTGCGTCGGTTCTGCGTCATCAGCACCCTCACCCACCGCCGCCGCCGTCTCTTGCCCTCGCTTCGAGCAATAGTGCCAAGGCGGAGGAAAGCGTCCCGCCGACACCGTCTTCCGTGGCGAGCACGGATGATTATGGCGAGGAGCGCGTGCCTGGTGTGAGGGGGAAGAGGTTCGAGGTGTATGGAGAGGAACAAGAGGAAGAGGAGATCGAGGGGCTGGAGGAGGCGTTGGAGGGTGCTGGTGTTAGTGTTGGTGTGGAGAGGAGGGTGGAGGAGAGAAGGGCGAAGGTGCGGGAGTACCAGAAGGAACAGATAGGTCAGTCAAACTTGCAGCACCGGCAGAGCCGTGAACACCTCCAACAACACCATGGCCAACACCACGGTCAACAACATCTCCAGCACTACCAGAGCCGCGAGTCCCTCCTCCGGCACCATCCTAGCCATGAACGGCTCCGGCACCAAGCAAGCCACGACCGCCTCCTCCTCCGGCACAACAACCCCAGCCAGCAGGAACTGGCGCTCGCGCATATGCTCCGCGCACGCGAGCAGCAGCAGTTACAACTCCATCTCTCGTCGACGTCGCCCGGATCGCCCTCGACTACAAGCCTCTCCCAAAGCCTCTCACAACAAAGCCTCTCACAAAGTCTCTCCGCCTCCGTCTCCCGAAGTGTAGCCAGCCCAACCTCCTCAGGTCCGAGCCCAAGCCCGAGCCCGTACTACGGCAGCATAGGCTACGGCCCCCCGCGCACGTCCAGCCGCAGTGCCACCGCCCCAAGCGTGAGCAGTGCCGCTCTGAGTGTGAGCAGCGCCACTGGAAGCGCGAAGGGCTTGAGCTCGGGCAAGGAGGCTGCGAGAGTGGAGGGGATGTTGATGGCGCTCGGCCCGGTTCTGGGCCCGCAGGCGAAGGAAGTGGCGGAGATGAAGAAGAGGGAGATGAAGGAGCAAAAAGAGGTGGAGAAGGCGGAGAGAGGGGTCAGTAAGGAGCAGAGGCAGAGGTTGCGGAGCATGACGAGCTTGGGCAACATGTCGTCCACGACGTCGGGCTCGGGCGTTGGCAGTGGGGGCAGGAGCAGTGGTTTCAGGGGATTGGTGGAGAGGATCGGAGGGAGGGGCAGGGCGCATGCCGCTAGCGTTGGTGCGAGCGGTGCGAGCGTACCGTTCAGTCCTCTGTCACCGTCGTACCCGCACCACCACCCACAGACGCTAACGTCAAGCAGCTACCAGCAACAGCTCCATCGTATGCCATCCACACCCATCCTCGAGCACTACCGCACGTCGTCCTCACCCAGCCCGACGCACTCGCCTTCAACTTCGGTATCGCTGTCCTTC